ATAAGAGCTATAAGTTTTCATTTAAAATTATTTTTGATTTAAAATATTTTTAATTTTTAAATATTGCTTTCTTGGTTGTGGCTAAGGACCTCGCTTCTTTGTTTTTGCAGATACGATACATTCAACATTATGTTTTGTGCAATTAAGACATAGTCTTTGTTGAGTACATTTTACTTTCTTTTTTTGGCAATATTGACATGCAAATGAGATTTTTGTCTTCGTCATTTTTTGAATCACTATCTAATAAAATCTTGATACTTAAATAAATCATTTTGGATAAACTATTTTAATCTTTTTTTAATTGGTTCAAAAATGATCTCCAAAAAAATTATTTTACAAATTATGTAATGAATAAATAAAGATTATTAATTTAAATTTAGAAAAAAATCTAAAAATCTTTAAATAATTGGTTTATTTGTTTATCAGAAATCTACAACAAAAATAGAAAATATTCAAGACATGTAGAATGTTGGAAATTGCTATATTCTAAATTATACAAAATTTTGAAGATCTATTCTGATTATTAATTCAGCCGAAAATGAAAAACTAAAAAAATCTTTTTTTAAAAAATGCTAATCATAAGATAATGCATATCTATTAAATAAATATTTACAAACAATTGCTATATGCAGGTTGATTATTGATCATTATGATAAGAAATTTTTTAGTATAAGATTCTCAAAAAAATGCACCTAGAACAATTTAATTTTCGTACTATTTTCAAAAATTCTCAAAAATTTTAGATGCTTTTTCAAATTATCTTTATCATTATCCTTATCGACGTAGCTATATCTAGACTAAGATCTGGTAGACTTTTTAGAACCCATTATGGCAGAATTCCTGCAAATCAAGAAGAAGTTTTAGAAACTTCTCTTCCTAGATTATATGATAATCTACCCACATATCAAGAGGCAGTTCATTCAGATATTTAATCTTTTAAAGAATTTAGTTCTTTTTCGAAAAAATTAAATTTAAATCAAATTTTTAAAAATCAAAATTAAAATTTTTTAAATACTGCAAAATGTCTTCAAAACAAACAGCATAAAATACTTCTCAAACTAAATTTCTCAACCTCGAATTTAAGAACAAAAAAATGTTGATACTACTTCTTATCTTCAAGAAAGAATAACTAACGAATTTACAAATTATGAAAAAAGAATTAAATTTCTTGAAGAAGATAACAAATATTATAAAAATTATTTAAATTATTTAATTTTAATAATTTTTTTTTATTTTATTTCTCTTTGGGGTTTATGTTTGGTGGACTTAAAATATCCATAAAATTAATATTGAACTTCTAAAACAAGCTGTAGAAGTTCAAGTTAAAAAAGACCTTTTTAATAACCACTTAGATTTAGTTAAAAAACAATTTTTAGAATTTATTGATTCTGTCAGAATAAGATAACTATTAATCAATAGTTTGTATTAATAAAATTATTTAATCGATTTCCTTTATTTGTCGTCTGTGACTTGTATTTCAATTCATAGATAATGAATAAAGAAGATCGATTACATGTATTATTTTTTATTTTTTTTTAAATTTAAACTTTAATTTTTATTAATAAAATAATTTTATAAATATTTACAAAATTAAAAATATACAATAAATATAAATGAATAATTATTTAATATAAATGTTCATAAACTTCTCCTTTTTTGTTTATACAATGACCATTACTCGCTAATAAACTAACTATAATATTTTGAAAATTTTTATTTTTTTCAACAGTTAAACTTCCTTCTAACTTCCAACCAATATTTAAATCTGAAAACCATCAAACTTTAACAAGTATTTTTTTTATATTTAATCCTTTTTTAATTGCTTGTTGAAAGCAATATAATCTTCTGTTGTCTGACAAATACCATATATCTTTAATCAAACAAATTTCAATATATGGAAAATTTTTAATTTTAATTTTGCCTTCAACAAGATTATTAATCGTATCTTCAAGCAATTCACCATTTCTAAACTATGGTGAGATTGATGCTTGTGAAAAATTAATTAAAAAAGGATTAATATAATCTATATAATCCTTTTCTGCAAGTTTAACTTTTAATAATAAAAATTTAAATCGATATAAAAATAAAATTCTGATAGCAAAGCTAATAGAAATTAAAATAAACATAAAAAATAAAGTTAATACTATAAGTATTAACTTAAAATAATATTCATTAGTCTCATTGACTAATATTTCTTCAGAATCTTCTTCTGATCGATTTTCAAAATCGGCTTGTGGTCTAATAGTTGAAGATTCTTCTTGTGAGTCTTCTTCAACTTGATTGAAGTCAACTTTGGTGATTGATCATATTCATTTCATATTATTTCTTGTTTTAGGTTACCCCAATTTAAATCAACTTCAACTTTTTCATATTCTTCTTGTTCAATTTTTGTTTCTTGATTAGAATATGTTTCTTTAATATCTTATGTAATAATTTGTTTTTTATTCAATTTAAAGATTTTTTTAAGAAAAGACATTTTGTTTATTATTTTTAAATTTTATTGTTGATAAAATTGGTAGTCTGATCAAATAATTGGGCTTTATTTAAATAAACAAATAAGAATTTACGAATTTAGAAGCTTTTATAATTTATCTATTTAAATTTTAAAATAAAATTTTTTTGAAAATATTCAAGAACTAATAAAATTAAATTATCTTATCTAATTTTTTTTTAAATTTAATCTACTAAAAAATTATTTTTACTAAAATAAAACCAATAAAATTAAACTTTCATAACTATTTTTTATAAATAAAATTTTTTTCATTTGTTTTTTAAATTAAAAATATTTTTTAAAAATGAAACCTTTACACATTATTAGAGAATTTTTTCATCATAATAATGAAAAAACAAAACTCATTTGTGATATTTGTGAAAAACCTTATAAAAAAAATATAAGCATAACAAATCTTAAAAACCACTTTGAAAAATTTCATCCAGAAGATTATGAATTAATCTTTAATTTTAATATCAAACAAAATAGTCATTCGATTTTAAATTATTATACTTTAGAAAACAAAAATTTTAATTGTAAATTATGTAGTAAAGTATATGATAAACCTCTTTTAAATTCTTTAAAACAACATTTTATTCGCAATCATAAAAAAATTTGAAAACAAATTAAAAAAAATAATCGAATTTAAAATTTAACTTCTTTTCTATTCATATTTTTTGTGATTTTATCATGTACTAATTTAAATTTGATATATTGTTTTTTTGCTTGTTCACTAGTTCTTTTCTTTGTAATTTTAAACTATTTTGCTTTATATTTTTTATTTTCATACCAACAAAATCCCCACATATTATTATTTTTATTAATATAAATACTATTATACCTTGATGAATTATTTTTAAATAATTTACAATTTAACATATTTTGACTATGAGTTGTTTCTCTAAGATTAGATTTACGATTATCAAAACCACATTGATTTTTATAGTCTATCATTTTATAATTTGGATAAATCATTTGGTGAAATCGAATATTTTTTTTTTTAATTCTTGTTGAAATATAATAAGTATTTCTGTGTTTTTCAAAATACCAAGTATAATTTTTGATTAAATCAAAATTGTTGATATCACAAAGAAAAGTAATAATTAATTTTTGTATTTTTATTTCTAAATAAAGTGTGAAATTGATTTTTATAAGACGATATTCATTAAGTTTATGTTTTGGTTTATCAGAATTCTTATATTTTTCCCAATCTGTAATAATTTCAAAATTTTTGAATTTTTTTGCCAATTCATTTTTAAATAAAAAAATAATCTATAAAAATGAAGTCTTTTTATAAAATTTTAAATTTATTAAGCCACAATATTGAATAAACTCTGTCACAAAAAAAATCAAGTTCTTTGAATAAACTCTGTCACAAAAAAAATCGAGTTTTTTGAATAAACTCTGTCATGAAAAAAATTGAGTTCTTTGAATAAACTTTGTCATGAAAAAAATTGAGTTCTTTGAATAAACTCTGTCACAAAAAAAATCAAGTTCTTTGAATAAACTCTGTCACGAAAAAAATTAAGTTCTTTGAATAAACTCTGTTATGAAAAAAATTGAGTTCTTTGAATAAACTCTGTTACGAAAAAAATTGAGTTCTTTGAATAAACTCTGTCACAAAAAAAATCAAGTTCTTTGAATAAACTCTGTTATGAAAAAAATTGAGTATTTTAAAAAAACTAATAAATTTATTTATTTATTAAAATAATTTATATAAATATTTAATACATATGATTATTTAAAAAATAGCTAAACAAAAAAAGTTATTCAAAATTAATACTACAAATATCATTAATGACAATACTTCCATTATTATTAATTTTTGTACTACAAAACTATTTTTAACTTCAATAGTTTTTAGTTTTTTATTCACTTTTTCTGTTTTTTCTTCAGTTTCTTCAGTTTTTCTTTTTTTTGTTAAAGGAATCAAAGTTTGAACAACTTCTAATTCTTCCTCTTCAGTAAAATAATCTTTATTTTGAACTTTGTTAATTTTTTCAATTTGTTGTTATTGAATAACTGAACTATTTTCGAACAGTGATACAAAAAACTGACTGATGTCTTTTTTTTTTAAATTAGTATTTTTAACTTGTTTCTTTTTAGCTTCTTCTGTTGCAAGAATTAATTGATAATCTTTTTGGTGATGTTTCGCATAGTGATTTTTTAAATTGGTTGTCTGGACATCAAAGTTGTAAGAAGCTTCACAAAGCTTACAAATAAGATGTGTTTTAAGATTGTTTATTTTAAAATGATTTTGAATTTTATGTATAGTTCTCATATTGAATATTTCTTTAATATTTTTTTTAAAAAATAAAATATTCATTTTAAATAAAAATTTTTAAAATAAAATATATTAAAATAAATTCTAAATTCAATTTAAAAATTTTAAATTTGATTTACTAAAATTAATCTAATACTAAATTCAAAAAGCTTTCTCACAATATAGATATTTTAAATTTATAATAAAATTTTTCTCACAAAAATTTTAACTAAATATAGAAATTCTAAATTGAATTTGATTTTAAATTCGAAAAAATTGCACCAATTAAATTTTAGCAATTATTATTAAAAAAATATTTAAAAATGTTATAATTTTAATAATTCGAAAAATGTCTACAAGATGATTTTTTTTGTATCTAACCAAACATCTGAAACTATAAAAGAAAAAAAATAGCCTTAAAAAAACAACTTGAAGTTGAAGAAAGTTTTGAACAAGAAAACAAATGACTCAAACATGAATTAAAACATAAAAAGATTCAAAATGAAACTCTTCAAGATCAATATAATGATTTGAAAAAATAATTAAAAAAAAAAGAAAAAACACAAGAACTACAAGAAGAATTAAATATTAAAGAATCTTGTATTAATGAATTAGCAGAATGTATTGTGTACTATACTGTACATTTTGGGCCAGCTTTCAAAATTTGTCACAATTTATATGAACAAGAAAAATTTGAAAAAATTTTAAAAGAACAAGAGAACAAGAAAGAAAAAGAAATTAATGTTTATTTGGTAAACAAAGAAGAAGAAAAGAATGACTTTATTGTTAATGACAATGAATATGATTGTCAATTAAATTGGGAAATTAATACAAAAGAAATTAATGATTCAACTAAAATTTTAATAGTTATAGTTATTTAATAGACAATAAAAAATTTGATAAATTCAGTTATCTTGATTTTGATTAAATATTTGTATTATTTATATATTTTTATTTAATAAAAATTTTACATATTTTATTAAACAGAATATCTATTGTGATTTCTTGTGATTTTATCGTATGCTAATTTAAAATTAATAGCTTGTTGTTTTGCTTGTTTACTAGTTACAGTTTTTGTAATTTTAAATTCTTTAGCTTTTCTTTTATTATTTTCATACTAATGAAATCTCCAAGCATTTAATAATTTATCAAAATAAATTCCATTATAACCTGAAGTATTTGTTTTAAATAATTTACAATTCAAAGCATTTTTTCTATAGATTGTTTTTCTTAAATTACATTTTTTATTATCTAATTCTATTCGATTTTTATGATCGATCATTTTATAATTTGGATAAACTATTCAATGAAATAAAATAGTTTTGTTTTTAATTATTGTTATAAGGAGTAATAAATTTGTAACTGTGGTTACTGTAACCGTATCCAATAAAGCCAATCAAATTTTATGATCAGGTGTAATGTGAAATCAAAACAAATTTTTTTTTAAAAAATATTAATAACTCAAAATTTTGACTATGAAACCATTCTTTACATTCTAACAAAAAAAATTCTTTGCTAAATTTTGATATAAACTAACCTTTTTCTATCCCTAGCCTTACCCTACCCCTAACCTTAATTGCAAAGTTTATTTTTATAAAAAAACAATTAGTTTGATAATTACATTAATTATGATTACAAAACAATTAATGTAACCTGTGGTTATAAAACAATTAATCCTTGTTATAATATAATTTGTATTTTGAATAGTCCAAGTAAATTTTTTTATTAATTCAAAATTGTCAAGATCAGTTAAAAATGTGATTTCTGGTTTTTGTATTGTAACTTCAAGAAATAAAGTTGCATCGATCTCAACAATTCGATAAGAATTTGACTTATATCATGGTTTAATAATTGGAAGTTTAGTCCAACCAGACAAAACTTTAAAATCTTTGAATTTTTCTTGCCAATTTATTTTTTTATTTAATAAAAAACAAATAGAATTCTTTTATATTTTTTTAAAAATCTAAGCCACAAATTTTAAAACTAATCTTTATTTAATTTTCTTCATTTTTAAGTTTGTCACAATTTGTATGAACAAGAAAAATTTGATAAAATTTTAAAAGAACAAGAAAAGAACAAAAAAGAAAAAGAAATTGACAATTATTTAGTAAACGAAGAAGAAGTAAAAAATAAAATTATTGTTAATAATAATGAATATGATTGTTAATTAAATTAGAAAATTAATACAAAAAAAATTAATAATTCAACTAAAAATTTTGATAGTTATAATTATTTAATAAACAATAAAAAATTTGATAAATTTAATTATCTTGATTTTGATTAGTTATATTATTGAATTTATATATTTTTTTATTTAATAAAGTTTTATATATTTATTTATATTAAAACAAAAATAAAAGTAACTAATTTTTTAATTTAATTTTCTTTATTTAGATGATTCAGCTAATGATAATTATTCAACTAAAAAATTCAATAATTATAATTAGGAAAGTTATATTCATAACACCGTGTTATATAACATCCTTATGCTATATCTCAGAAATGTACTAAGTAAATAGATGTAGGTACTCTAAATAAAAATGTTCAGCGCCCTTGAAAACTTTATAAAAACTAAAATCGAGACCTATTGAAACCTTATGTCTAATATATATTGTATAATAAAAAATACCTATTTATCTTAATACCAGACCTAACCCTAAGTAAAACATAAGGGTATTATATTAACACGGTGTTATAAATATAATATTTCTTATAATTATTTAATAGATAACAAAAAATTTGACAAATTTAGTTATCTCAATTTTGATTAAATATTTGTATTATTTATATATTTTTTATTTAATAAAAATTTTACATATTATTGGTTAATTTATTTACTAAAAATTTCAAATATGTTAAAAAAACTTGTTATATAAAAATTTCAAATATATTAAAAAAACTTATTACATAAAAATTTCAAATATATATAAAAAATCTTAACATATAAAAATTTTAAATATTTTGAAAACCGTATAAAAATTCAAATATTTTGAAAAACTTAACACGTAAAAATTTAAATATTTTGAAAAATATATAAAAATTCAAATATTTTGAAAAACTCAACGTGTAAAAATTTTAAATATTTTAAAAAACTCAACGCGTAAAAATTTAAATATTTTGAAAACTTAATATGTAAAAATTTAAATATTTTGAAAAACATATAAAAATTTAAATATTTTAAAAAACTTGTGTAAAAATTTTAAATATTTTAAAAAACTCAACATATAAAAATTTAAATATTTTGAAAAACTCTGTATTAAAAAATATATAAAAACAAAATTTCTCTAGATTTATTAAATAAAAATAGGAGTTTACAAATTTAGACATAATCAAGCAACAACATATTATTGTTTAGCTTGTAAAGAAAAATTTAAATGTCTAACAAAGAAAACAAAAAATAAAGAAGATAAAAAAAAACGTGAAGAATTTAAGAAAACTGGTATTCCAATTTGTAATTTATGTCAATAACAACATTGGTATTGTTTTGATAATAAATGTACAAATTGTTGTTTATTAAATAATTGCAATAATATTCATTGTAATTATTGTAAAGCAAATAATATTGAATGCAAATGAGTATTATCAAAAACACAAGAAGAATATAAAAAAATTAAAGATAAAGTTTCATATATTACTTGGAAATTTGAACCGACCGATAATAAAAAATTACATATTCAAATGTATTTACAATTTCATTCCAACAAATGACAAACTCTTAAAGATGCTAAAGAAATATTTAAAGAAGATAATTCATTAATATTTCAAAAAAAATTAAAAGGCACTTCAATTCAAAATAGAGATTATATTCTAAAGCCTTATGATCATTGTAAGAAGCATCCAGATTGTTATTGTGATTTCTTTGATATTAATCATCGATACAATAAATGTGATTTAACTTGTGAAAGAAAAATTGCAACTTGGGGCAGAGGCACTTTATCCAAAGAAATCATTGGTTTATTTGAATTTGGTGAATTTAGAGAAATTGAAAAAAGTTTTACAAAATATCAAAAAGAAAAAGAAAAAAAAAGATATAAATGAATTAAAAGTTGAAGAACATCAATGAGGTTTAGATAGTAATGAAATATTAGAAGAAGGAAAAATATTACTTAAAATTTTTAGAGAAAATAAAACAAGATTCCTTATTGCAAAAGTTATGAAACAATGACAAGAATTTATAACGATTTACAAAAAGAAAAACAAAAAGAAAAAGGTAGATGATTTTGGCAACCTATTACTTTTTATCTTTATGGCCCAGAAGGAAGTGGAAAATCAGAACTTGTTCAAGCATTATTCGAAGATGAATTATATGAAAAATCTAAAAAACAAAAATCTGGTTTGAATTGGTAGAATGGTTATAATAGTCAAGAAATAGTTTTTATTGATGAATTTTATACAAAACTTGATTGAAATAATCTTGTAAATTATCTTAATGATATGAGTGTGGTGACTTAGTGAAGTGGTCATGTTGTCACCCCCCAAGTGTCAGGTCTAGAGTTCAATTCCTACCAGCGACGATTATTGAATATCAAAAACTTGTATATCTCCGATATGTTAACTTAATTGGGTATGCTAGGTGTAACAGATGCTGTAATCTATGG